AATAATAAAAAATATCTGTAGATCTCAATGATCCAGTAGACCCAGTAGATCTAGTAGATTGAAAATTTTAACATTATCGATGGAAGAGTAATAATCATTTTTTAGACAGTATGATACATAATTATTTTAAAAATTGATATTTGAAATAAGAGGTAAACGGTATATATGCACCGGTATATATACCGTTTTATCAGTCTTGCAACACAATCCTAAATTGAAGCTGGAATGCGTAATGTAACAAATTAAACTGACAAGCAATTTAATGATACTGATGCTAATGAGCATTTTAAAATAAAACACTGTTATGAAAAATATAAATATTTAATAATTATGTAATTAAATATGGATGATTTAAGCTTATATATTTAATTATATTACTGAACAAAATAAAAACTTTATTAGATAATAAATACTTCAACTTAGAATTTGCCTGATTACTTTCCGAAACATATTTTGATATTCATTCAGGTCAATTTTAAATGGAATTTATTTCCTATTTCTTCAAATTGTTTCTTAGCTTAGTAACAATAAATACAGAGTGGTTCATTTTAATCCATCTAATAAACTATCTTAAAATCCTTAAGTTTAAGACAAAAATATTTCAGATAAATATTAATAAATTACAAGAGAAAAAGAAGATAATGATTTTGGTTCACTTTGAAAAGATATCCTTAAGGTCAGGCCAAGGTTATCTAAATTTTTTGAAATTATATTAATAAATTAATAAAATTTAATAACTATATTATTTTTTTACACATGACTCCTCTAATTATTCTGCATATAAAAAAATAAAAATAGAGAGACAAACTAGAGAGACAAAAAACCAAACAGATAAAAAACTAATAATTTATGAGATATTTTATATTTATTCTGATACATTGACATGAAATATTAAGTATCTGTTAAATTATTACACTTAATTTTTTAATAATCGTATTTTAATACTTTTATAAACAGAATAATGAGATGAATCACTTGGTTTAAAGAAACACACAGTTGCTCATTTTAAAAATTATCTATTTTGCTTATATATATTTTTTAAAGTAATTATGTAATTTCTTTATAAAATTATATTATTTGTAATATTATTATTGACCTTAATATGAACGTGTAACAAAATTGAAAAAAATCTTAAAAAAAATATTCTTTGAAGTGACAAGTATGATTTTATTAGTTTTGAAATAGATGTATGTGTAAGAGAGATAATAACTTTGTAGATATAATGAGATAATTATTTTATATTTTATACAAAAATTTGTAATGAAAATTAAAAACTTAAATATTTCAAGCTCATACATTTATTCTAATTCTAATTATATAATTAAACAAGACTTTATTACATATATATATCAGACACTTCGACCGAGAATTTGCCCGATTGCATTCATTTCTTTATGAGACATAGGTTCTAACATTAATCCAGGTACTGGTGGAGTCAATTCTAAATCACGGAGTTCATTTACTTTTATCTTTAAATCGCTCCTTAGTTTATTAATGGCAGTATCACATTCTCTCTGATCTGTAATGTAATATGTAATGTAATATATAATGTAAAAACAATATAGATTATAAAAATTACAGAATATTAGGTGTAGTAAAAAGAAATCCATTATTTTTGCATGAAATTGAATGGAAAAATAATGGATTTCTTTTTACTACACCTAATATAAACTTTCTTGTTCTGCTTGTTGTTTAAAATTACCTTTTACAAGTAATTCTTCAGCTGCTTTAGACGACATCTTTAAAAGCAACGGTCCTACTGTTATCCAAGTTTTTTCATGCGTCTGTTTTTGAAGTGCTCTCATTCCAACACGATCATCGTTTCGTCTCTTGTCTAGAGCGATTATTTCCTCTCGATCAGTGAGAATTTCGCCAGCTTTATTTTCAACTTTTTCTAAGTGTTCCAATAATTTGTGCTGCTCGTCCGCCATCTATAACAAATTAATAAATGTATCATTTTTTTATTTATATATTTTTATATTATATAGAAAGGTTCTCATTCACATGCTACATTTTAAACTTTATTATTTTTTTATTATTTTGAAGTAAACTTTATTATTATTTTTTATTATTTTGAAATAAACTTTATTATTTTTGTATATTTTTAAATTTTTATTGATAATTAGCATGAGATCAAAAATTGTAATGATAACATTATATAAAGAAGTAAAAAATATTTTTATTAAAGTATTAATAGTATCTTATAATAAAAAAAAAAGATTGAAGATTAACTTACAAGTCTTAAATATATAAGAACAGTAAAAGTTATATTTTTATTACATTTAATCTTGAAATAACATCATATTCAAAATAGAATTATTTATATTTATTTTAAGATAATGCTATACGCAAAGCTCTTTCTTTCCTAGCTTCTCTGTGAAGTAGCCTTTCCCTGTCCCTTTTCTTCAAAGGTTTTTGCTTGGGCATTTTGGAACTGTTAATGGCAGTTGTATCGCCTGACTTAAAATGAGTAATCTTATATTCATTTTCTATTAATTGTCCCAATCCTTTGCGATCCATTTTTAAACATGTTTTGATAGGATATTTTATTCCTTTCCCAGAAGGACCAAGACCAGCTTCCTCATCCCATCCTGTATTCAAAAGCATTCTATATCCTTTATTTTGCCTCGATATTCCATATATTGTATATTTCAGTTTCGGTTTTGTATTAAAGATGTGTAGAGTTGAACTTTCGTGTTTTTGTGGAGTTGTTTCTTGAAAGGTCGTTTTACAGATTTCACAGTAAAACGCTGCGTTCTGCTCCAACTGTGTCTTATCTTTCATAACATTGTCTTTATTGTGTTCCACTGATGATTCTATAGGTAATGATCTTACTGATAAAGTACTTGTATTATTTGTATTTGGAATATTTGCAGTTAACTGATTGATACTGCTTATAGAGTCAGACTTCTTCAATAGCGCTACAATATTCAAATAATTTTTTTTTAAAGCTAATTGTGCTGCAGTAAGACCAGACTTATCTCTAGTTTTTTTGTTAGCCCCAAGATTTAATAAAAATTGTACAATCTCTAAATGACCACAATAAGCAGCGGACATTAATGGGGTCCAACCAAAATCGTCAGACGAATTCACATTTTCTGTCGTCATGTATTTTTGCAAAAACTTTAAATCTTTTTGCTCCACTGCTTTTAACAATGTATTGACTGTGACTTTTGCTAGAATATCATCAGAAAGTGTACTCTTCTTTGATTGTACAATAGAAGTTGGATTTGTATTGGAGTTGTCTTGGTTTCCAGTGATTTTTAACCTTAAATTCTTTAATCTTGCTAATGGAGTATTACTATAACTAGTTTGTTGAACAATTTCTTCATAAGTAGCCTTTGCTTCGTTACCTTGGAAAGCCAACTGATGAACACATCTCTCTGGAGATTGATCCTGTATATTAGATGATTCTCTGACGAAGGTCTTCCACGGTATATCAATGTTGTGTCGTATGTGTATCCACTGTTGCAAAGGCATCTTTTTTATGTCATACGTTACGTTGTCTTGTACTACTAATATATCTTCTCTTCTTTAATGGTTCTCTTGTTGTGAAATTTGTATAGAATTCTTATGAAATATCCTATCTTCTCAGTCAATATTTATCTTTTTAGGAATCAAATAATATTTTTGTGATTTAAAACGTCATAAAATACGAGTAAATGAGCAATGCGTTGCTCTGCACCTCGTTATTATTGCCACAATAAAAGTTCGCAAAAAGACTTCGCAAAAATTCGCAAAGACAAAATAAAATCGTGTCTCAAAAGAGTGTACAGATCTGACGCGTATTGTTCACAAATGTTCGAGATGTTATATTATCGAAATAATACGTCGATAGCAAAATTTACCTTTGCTTCAACGCTATCACTGCAACTGCAATCTGTTGCAATCGTCTCGCCTGAACGTCACGTAGTCACATAAATCACATAATTCACAATTAGGTTATGTACGACGAATACTCTCTAGAGAAACTCTCTAGAGAACTCTATGCAGGGAATTCAGTTCTCGGACGACACAGAGCAACAAATCGAAATCTACCAAGGGTGCGTTCCAAAACTTGACTCTGTCAACTCCGAGTATCCTTTATCTTTATTCAACATTTAATATAATATAATTTAATATATCAATAAGAATAAAATATCGAGTTGACAGAGTTGAATTTTGGAATCCTCGGGATCGATTCTGTACCTTGAAACGAGGAAAATTATAAAAGTGAGCGAATTTACTAGAATATTGATTATTTCATTGATCAACACTATATTGGTCAACTAGTAAATTTGCTCGCTTTTGTAATTTTCACCTCGTTTGAAGATACAGAATCGAGAGAAATGTTTAAAGTGCATTTTTTGAAAGCGATTAAATAATTGAAAATTCATAAATATGAAACAAGAACGATTTTTTAAAACTTTGTAATTTTTGAGATACTTATTGTAACATATTTCGTCGTAATTAATTATTAAGGAAATATTTGCTTATGAATGAAATCTAACAAGAGAAAATCTAATAATTCTGATTTTTTTTTCTCTCTTTCTTTCTCTCTCTCGCACTTTTTGCATTTAGCATCTTTTCATAATAAAATTGCCTATTTATTTATGTCAATAATATTTTTTAAAAATAATTTTTACAAAATTCATATTTAAAAAATTATTTTTTAAAAATATTATTGACAAAAACAAATAGAAATAATTTTATTATAAAATTTTCGTATTAGATATTTTTTTATACATATCTTGAACCTCGAATGGTTTCTAAGATATAATGTTTCTAAGATGTTACGAAAAAAGTTAATAATCACTTTATCAATAATCGAGTCATTTCTTTAAAACTTTCCGCATTAATTAATATTTTCTAAATTCTATTTATTAAAATCTATGTGTAAAATAACCTATATGTATAAGTTTCATTAAAAATTTTAATGAAATTTTTTATACATACAAATTGGGAAAAAGTCTCAAAAATTTTTGCATTTAAAATGAGGTAGATAAATATAAATTTAGGCATTGAAAAGAAAAAAAAAGCAAATGTATTGAGTGCAAACAATACAAGCAATGTTAACTGACTAATTTTTAATCCACAGATTTGTCTACATTATTCTTAAAGTATTATATTATTTTTGAAGTATTGCTTCTAGAAATCTGTTGATTCAAAATTCGAGACACACACAAAATATTGAGAGAGGTTAGGTTAGAAATTATTGCCGATGATCGCGCGACGCATGTGGTGTACACGTTCAGGTACATGAAATTTTTTAACTTGTAAATGGAATATCATTACGATTAAATAAATCATGGCTTTGCCAACTTGGGCGAAAATAGGAATTGGATGGTACGTGTACACAGTATCTTGAAAAAAGTTTCTCACGTCTGATTTTTGCATATCACGTTAACATTAACCTAAAAATTGAACTATGATTATCGTGTCAATAGAATAATTCCGAACATTTATAATTTTTGACATGTATATAGATCAAAGATTTCAGATTTTGCGTTTGCTAGTCTATAAAAAAAAAACATTTTTATATGATCTTTATTATAGAATGATGAATTTATATTTTGTAGGTCTGTAGCCACTGTTCTAGGACTTTATTCATTTGTGCTGTCCAAGAGAAGCATCAATGCTCAGAGATATGAGATTATGAAAGCTAGACAACGATTGCGCAACGTCAATACTGTAGAATAATTTATTAAGAAGTAAAATTTTTAAGCAAAGAAAGCATAATTATAGAGTACCAAGTTGGAAAAATGGCAGCATTACCGCAATTAGACGAGGATAAAATGAAGCTAGTGCAGGATTTAGAAATAGAAATGATGTCAGACATGTATAATCGCATGACATCTGCATGTCACAGAAAGTGTATAGCACCGAAATATACCGAGGCTGAACTAGGCAAAGGAGAATCAATATGTCTAGATCGTTGCATTGCTAAATATTTAGACGTTCATGAACGTATAGGCAAGAAACTTACACAAATTTCAATGCAAGAAGCAAAAATTGCGGAACAACCAAAAACAAGTTGAATCTATTATCATTAATTGTATTTGATAAAATCTTGAACTTATTATCTATTATAAGTTGTCTTTAATCTTTCAATTAATGTTTCAATTATAATACAAAGATTTGTATCTTAAATTAAAATTAATGATAAATTGTAGTATATCATTCTGTACTTTAATGTTTTAAATTGCGAATAAACTAAATGTTACAATATGTTACAAATTTTTAATTTTCCAATTTATCAAATGTTTAAATACATCATATCCTTTCCATGATATATAATTAAATATTATAATCTTGTTGAATTTTACTGAAGTAGTTTATAAGTTTATTAAAACTTACAAACTATTTTGTATAAACTTGTAAACCACTTTAAATTTATTTTGAAGAAATATTTATTTATATAAAAAATATAAAATATTTAAATATTTATAAGATTTATTTGTGTCATAAACCCTTGGGATGTATAGATTGTTTTAGATAAATACATTTACAAATAGTTTATTCTTCAAAATTTCATACAACACAATTTGCAAATAATAATGCATAATACATTACCTAAATTTTTATTAAATTTAAATAGCAGAAAAATTTGGCTATCACTCCTATTTTACATTTAACAACTTTTATTGATTATTCAAAATATAACTTTTGTCCATCTAAAGTAATTTTTTTCCATGTATACTTTTAGACACAAACTTTTGTGACGTAGAAAAATTTTTGTTCTGACAATATACATATAAAATAAGTATTAATGCTAACAATACAACAAGAACACAATATATTAATTATTGTAAAAACAATGAATGAATTTATGGCAATGTGATACAGTATGTACAAATTTAAATGTTATGGATTCTGAACAAAATTGAAGACTTAATGGAAGGTTTCTTATAGTCCTGTTTAGCAAAATAACATCGCTATTGTTAAAAAATAAAGTAGTAAAGAATAAATGGCTTTTCTCTTGTTCTTGTCTAAATTCATATCACATACATAATATTTCGAAATATAATATTTAATATTAACCAGCAGTTTTATCTTTCACTGGACGAATTGTTGCCAATGCCAAAGTGTGCTGGCCACCACCGCTAACTCGTACCACTGTCTTTCCCTCTAATTGCTTTCCCTTAATTAATACTGGTTCCTCGACATCTTTTACATCTCCTGTTCCAAGATTTCCATTGGTTCCCATACCCCATGAATATAAATCACCTATTATAATAAAAATAGAATCTTATATATATGAATCTTGTATATATTTTTTTAAAGAATACTTGATTTTATATTATATCAACACTTCATATTACCAGATTCCGTGACGGCAAAAGATTCTCTACTACCTGCGCCTATGTCAATACATTTAGTGGAACTTAAAGCAGAAACTAATGTAAGTTCTTCCGCGTCTGAGCAATTGGGTCCAAGACCAAGGCGACCGTATTCTTTGCGACCCATCACAAAAACTTGTCCCGCATCATCCAAAGCTATGGTATGGTGTTCTCCACTACTGATATGTTTCCATACTTTTCCGCTAAAGGTTTTTGATATTTGTGGATGAAAATGGATATCATTGTCCTTCAAACCTAAAATATTTTCCAACAAATGCAATTTAAAATTGTGTGTGGAAAATATACGATTTAAAAAAATATCTTTCTTTTTTAAAGAAAGAAATTTATTAGATCGTATATGTGATACACAACTAATAGAAAATAAAAGCCTTTAAGATAGCTTTAGCCTTCCAAGATTCATGTAAGTATCAAATTATTATATTACTACCGTTCTGTAGGGATTGAATTTTAAAAAATTCGAAAAATTAATTCGGCGCGCAATTTTCATAACGATATGTGCAGTATCGAATTATTGAAATACTTAAGATTTAGCTTTGATCGTTAAAAGCTTTTATTTCCTATTGGTCTGTCTTTCTCTTACCAATTTGGTGGAAATTATTTAAACCAAATACATATATATCTCCTTTTTCATGTTCTTTAGCAAAAGTGCAAAAATTTCCTGCCCATATATCGTCAAAATATAATTTCTTTCTGATTTTAAATTCAACTACGCCTGGAGTCAATAGCAGACCTATTCCTTGTCGTGTATTTCTACTGGCTGTACGTGCAGCTACTCGTCCTAGTTGTCCTTGTTCACCGCGTCCACAAGTATATACACGTCCATTTTCACTAAGTAACACTAAATGATCATTACCTGATGCTATTTTGACAACTTTTACATCAGGTAATATTTCTATAGGGAATCGCTCATTTCCTTTTAACGTTAATCCCATAGAACCATGTGTATCCTATTTATA